TCTGACTGTGACTGGCATGATGCAGCATACCCTGCTTAGTGAACCTGAAGGAATCTGAAATGCCATGCAGTTCCCAGTGTCAGGATGATGCCAGAAGATGCAGAGATGGCCTCCTCCTGGTCTGCTGTGTAAGAAAGGGGGAGCTGCTGTTTCAGAGATGCTGATCCCAGCCAGGTTCAGCACAAATAAGGCAAAGCTTGAGAGGGTTTTTGTACCATCTTTAAGGTGATACCCCTCAAAATAGAACAGAAAAACCATGAAAAGGAGAACCCTAAATCATGGTAAGGTGAGTGAGAGCTTTTGGGAGGGTAGGCTGCCAAATGGAGCACTCCAGATTTATAAAAACAAAACAAAACCCCATACATTTATGTTTAAGAAAAAAATTAACAATATATTATTTTATATTTTATCTCCCCCTCAATGATTAATTTCTGCTTTCCCAATGTAGAATCTGGTTGCATTTTCTTTTACTTCTTCAAATCTCAGTTTTAAAGCAAAAACTTCTTCAAATAAAATAATTAAATAATTTAATAAATCAATCAATCAATCAAAATCAGGGTTGGCTCTTGCCCTGGGGACAGAGGTGTCCATCCCCCTTGGGATGACTCTTGTAGGCTGCATCTCTTCCCCACTGCCCATCCAGCCAGAGCCCAGCCCAGCCCCTTCAAACCATGAGTGTGTCCAGGCAAGGGCCACAGCTGGATTTGCCTCTCCAGGGGTGCAGAGGGTTCTGTGGCACAGCAGGGGATTGTGAGAAGCTCTGCTGGAGGGAGCTCCAAACTCCCCCCATATCACCTTTGCTCAGAAGGCAGCTGATGAGAATTTGTTGTTGATCTCTGTGCACGCCCCTTCCTCCCTCCCTTGATAATAACATAATAATAACAATGCATAAAGCAAATCTTTGTGTTGAAAACCAGAAAAGCTGTATTCTTTTACCAGACTTTTTTCCAAATCTTACATTCTTAGTATTAACATGATAATGAAAAAATTATGCTGTTCTTATTGTGCATGATTCTCCTAACCCTGTGATTTTTTTGGTTGAGATTTCCCACCAGTTTTGCAGTGTTATAGCACTTTTTGCCAAAAATGTTTTTAAAATGTGGAATTTAAATATTTTAACCTTTTAAAAGCCTTAATCCCATTAACATAAAAATCAATCCCCTTTTTACTTTAATTAAATGATTTGTAAAATTGAATCAGGAACTACTTGCTGTTCTGCCATCCTCTTCCTTCTGCCATCTCTAACTTGTTTTCTCCTTCCCGCAATTTTTGTATCTTTCTCCCTGTGCCCAGGGTAATTGTGGGTCCACAAAACTGCACCTACCTCTTGTGATAAGCAACCTGAAATCTGAGCCATCAGAGATGGGATTTTACACGCTGAATTTCTCAGTCAGGACTCCAAACACATGAGGACTGAGAATTTCACCCTTTGAAATCACATTTGGAAAACAAGAGCTGGGGCCAAACCTCTTCTCTGGGAATGCTGCTACTCAGCAGCTGGGAGCCAGCTCTGAAATCAAGGTCTTTTTGCAAAAAGGAAGTGGGCAGATCACATTCCCAAGAGCGATCATCTGGCTGCCCAAGGCTACTGAATAGATAGGGAGGTTCTAGCCCCACATCTGTGAGTGACCAAGCTGTAACCCATAAACCTCCACTGGCAGAAAGCTCCATCAGAGCTGTAAAACCTGGATCAGTAACTTCCTTAGGTGACTGATAGGCAGCATGTCAGTAGCAAGACCTTGCAACAAAAGTGATAAGTGACAAATTTGAGGAGTTTTACAGTACTAATGCTTGTTATTGCTTCTCACAAAATGTTACCAAGCTTACAATAATCTTTACACTTTCAGCAAAAATGTGAACAGTATATTTGAATATATTAAAAAGAATTAAAAAAACATTTCACAAAAAACATTTGTTGCCATATGAAAGTCTTTCAGCAATAAATGCCCACACCAGTATTTAAACATTGTTAAAAGTATAATGATTTGTACTAATAAATTATGCAACAAGAGAGGTAAACAAAATAAAATTACAGTATAGCTCTCCATGTTCCTCCACCGAGCATCCGCAGCTCTTGGAAGCTCCATTTTAGATGACTAATTAAGAAACTGATATTTTCAGAGCAACAAAAATAAAAGCTTTTATTTGTTCATTTGAATATAAAACAGGCGTTATCACAGATGTACAAAGCGTACTGGTGGTTTAACATACAAGAAGGTTGCTGTCCTTTGCACATAAAAATTTTTGTTTGAATCTGTGATTGGCTGAGTTACATGAATTTCTCTAACCAGTCACCACACTCTATGAAATAACGCTGCTAACATTCAACTGATAAAAGGGACAGTCTTCCCTTGGGTAAAGTGTCAAGCAGGATTAAATATATATAATAAACAAGCACCATGAGGAATCTGCTCCTGTTTGATTAGTTTTGTGTTTAAATGTTCATTGTGTACCCTCTCTTTTTGTGCATGTGCATCGAGTTGATTACATGGTTTTGTCTGACTCCAAAAGCACAAGGTCACAAGACAAACATTTTATACATTCTCATGAATGGTTTATCTACAGTACAGTTTCTAATACAGAACAATCCTTCTTTATTGCTCAGTCTGATGGTGCTTAAATGTTTCCTTCCTTTTGCTTGCACAACAAAACCAGAAACTCAGTTTATCATTTCTCTTAACTCAGGATTTAACAACCACAGATGACAGGTTGCAGAAGAGAGCTGTTATTAACTGCATTTCACAACTGCATTGCAGTTCTTTTATTCTCTACAAATGCAAAGTTGACTTCGTGAAGGTTAAAGTGACGCTTTGAACGACAGCGAGATTTGTTTTGCAGTACTGAGATCAGCAATAGCAGGACTTCACAAGTTAGTTCACACACTGCAATTATGTTTGTAATCAATCAACATCTTGTCTGAAACCTTACAACAACTTGCCATTAAGAACAGATTTTATTCTTTTTAGGGAGCAGAAAATGAATTTGACAAAGTATGGGATTGGTCTGCAGAGCATGAATAGGGCTATTCACAGGACAGTGAGGGCGGAAGAGATGGCCTGAAAGAAAACGCGTCTGACGTGGTGAGATGCTCTGTACTGTACATGCAGACTAAAACGTCCCTACCTTTTAAAAAGATTTTTAACACCCAGCATTGAGACTCCCTTATACGTGATATAAACATGATAACGTTTGCCCTGCAACAATCTTAGTCATGCATATCCGGTAATGAGAGCCAGCACATGAACGTCATTTGGGACAAATAAGAAAAGCATTCTTGGACTGCAGCTGGTAAATCCCACTCTTGATCACAAACAGGTCAATTCAGTTACAACCACATGAAGGAAGGGGAAGGCTTTAAAAAAGGGGGCATGGGGGGCAGGGAAGACAACAGAACTGGGGAATCAAACCCCTCTTTTCTCCAAAGGTAGTAAAATGAAGGCAGCTGTGATGCATGTTTTCCTACTCTTCTCCCGTGATGGCCTCAGGCTGGAGACCACGGGACTCCTCCGTTCTTTAACCAGGCAGATGGGTTCCTCTGATGTTTTAATGTGTTTAGGGACTAGTTAGCAGATGCACGATCCGTGCCAAAGGGCGGTAGTGACTGTACGCTCCTCTCGTTAAGGAATAAATTAAAGACCATTGAAACAATCGTTTCCTGTAAATGTAAACTGTAAGCGTTGGCCACCGAGCTACGTGTCCTAGCTGAGAGGCAAATTGATAACTCTGTGCAAAAAACCCCAAAACTTTTCCTTATAGCAGTAAAAACACCAACTAAAACAATGAAAAAAATTGTGCAACAAAGTTCTGCAGCTAGACAACAGTGCTATTCCTCAACCTGCCTTTTCTAAGTCTAACAAGTGTATGCACATGCCAGCACGAATATTTATTGTTGCCTCCATGGCAAAGAAAAGAAAATTATTGTAGTGCATTTTTAGTCTTAAATTCATTCACTGCCTTAAAGGCAGCAATAATTTCACTTGCTGGTATCTAGAGGATTCTTTTTGTCAGGGATACTTAGCAATCCAGGATTGCTTTTTTTTTTCTTTTTCCAAAAAATTTGTGAGTAACATTTGATTATCTACAGTGGGAGACACCATGCAAGTGACAAGTACTGCATTTTAAACTTTAAAATCTTTTGTCATTAGTGAATTTATATTTCATATATATATATTTGATGTGATACTATCCACTCAAGATAATACAACACTTTGTTTTTATATTAGCAAACATTTCAAGAGTTTAATATTCTTGAATGTTTCTTCTCTTTTATACTTCTAAAGAGATCAAAATAAATTAAACGTTTTGTACATAATTACAGAAGAAGTAGTTAACTTATTTTATCTTTTTAGTTTAGTACAAAGATATTTGCAAGCTCATTGCCGAAATACACCTTATTTATAAATTTCTTCCATTCTAACGCTAACAGCAAAGGCTCTTTGGCCTTTGGGCTTTCAGCATCTCTGACAGAAAGCTGCAAGATTTCTAATTGAAAGGTGCTACTTTGGGTTTTCTCCTCGTACCACTACATATTTTCCTAAGATGTGGGATCTAAAATGGCTTAAGTTAGTAATGGATCTGTATTCATCAGCTTTTTATGACATATTAAAACAAATGAAGGAAACAACTATTTGTATTAGTATGCAAATTGTTTTAAAAGAATCCATTTGGAGGGCAGAATAAAAAAAAATCTACTTCAGCTTACTTAATGTAAAATACAAAGCCACATTTACTCAAAAAGCAGTATTGTCCAGTAAGCAAAAAAAAAAAAAAAAAAAAAAAAAAAAAAGTTTAAAATGGGCTTTTCCAACACACTGAAGGGCCTTACCCCATAGTCCTTCTTTTCTAAAATTTAGTGGTAAAAGAAAACATTTCACATTATATTTCCTGCCAATCGTGACTGCTTTGAAAAGTCGTAATAGAAACAGTTCCATTCTGATGAGTGTCAGCATCTTATCTGCACACTGTTTTAGTGGACACAAAAAAATTTTATACATCTATAGTAAAGTCCATGGAAGCTTTAAGGTACAAGACTACATGTTGTAGGCCACATAGATGGGATCTAGCTGGTCTGCCAAAAATCCATCTCGTAGGTGCATACGTTGTTTCTCTCCACGGGAGTTGATAGGAATTACACCAATGTCCACAACCACCACCACCCCTACAATCAGATAGTGTTCCTCCAGGACCACATTGGTGACCAAAGGAACAAGGTCCAAAGCTTCTTGCTCAGATCCATCCAGCTCCACTACAACGACCAATAAATTTGTCCAGGTAAACACCGCACTGGAAAAAAAAAAAAATAGTATTAGTCGTGGGGTTTTTTCACCCATTTCATTTTTTATCTCCTTTCTTGCACCTTGGTTATCTTTTGTTGGAGCTCCTTGGGCTCTTTCCATGTTCAGGAGAAAGGGTAAAGAGCAAGAGAGAACACACTGAGGCAGGGGCAGAACAGCCCCATGAGGTCTCTATTTAATACTGCTGCAATTTTAAGCATTAGGCTGAACTTTACAGAAACCTGCCTGTCATGGAAGGAGGTAGTATGGCAGCGTGTGGTTCCCTCTGAAGCCAGGGAAGTGCCACAGCTCTGCTGTGTTCATGGAGTGACCTGTGTGTGGAGGTATTTTGAAGGGTTTTTTACAGGGTCTTTTGAAGAGCAGCTCAGAAAACCAAGGAGGTTAGGAGAGGAGGCACCAAGAAGAGCAGGAGCAGAGTCTGAGCCGAAAGGTCTGTGGGATAACCCCTGCTAGTGACGGGGTGTGGAGCCCTGGGGAGGCACATGGCACAGTGCAGGCTGACAGGGGTGCCTGGGGAGGGGACATCCTCCCTGTGCCTGCTCAGCACACACGGCAAAGCGCCCTCAGGAACGGGCTGGCTGCTGCCCAGGCAGGTCAGAGCTCAGCACAAAAAAGCTGCAATTCTTCTGGACCAACTGGTTTCCACAGAAATAAGGCTGTGTCTTCATCTGTTTTATTTTGGCTGTTTTATTTCTGTTTGGTTTAAGGGGACCAGAGTTTTAACATTCCTGATAACAGTGGAGATGGTCAAAGGACACCATTATTCCCAGTATCTCCTGTTTGCTAAAAGAACTTTGTAATACTCCAAAGTTTTGGTTAAGCCCTTGAGCTAAAGCAGGTTAATTTTGGGTTCTGCTACCTGGGACCATTTCTGGCTAAGGAGAATGCATTTATCCTTCCAAATATAGAGGCTTGGGAGGGTATCAAAGTCTGGTGTATGCTTCCTTCCAGAGTAGTTTGACAGCTTCCCTCCATCCTCCTCACATCTCCAGAGTCTCCGGAGTTTCACATCTCATGGGAGGTGAGCACAGCTGAGCCACAAAGAGCAATCTCATTTATCCTTGCAGGCATTTAAGAAACTTTTTCCTCTAGCTTATTCCACAGAATAAATAATAATATTCTACACATGTAAGCCACATATCCAGCCCTGTACTTTACTCATCTTTACCTCATAAAGTCAGGGGATAACTTCCCAGAACTGTCTCGAGCATAAGCATCTGAAAGTCAGAATATATTATGTACATAAGCCATCTTCAAAAAGAGCTTCTTCCCCTAAGGTCAATGCTTGATTGAGACAGAAGTGCACTGTTTTAGCCTCCTAAGACAGCTCTGAAAATCCAGGTACTATGGAAACATATCTTCCTTTGCCCAAAAATTAGCTATGAAAATGTGCTCTATGTTGATGCTTGACAGAACAAATTTTAGGAGAAAAGTACTTAACTCTTAAAAAAAACACAACAAAAAAAATTCAGATCCTGCCCAAGTACTATTTGATTGAATTCTTATGTGCTTATTGATCTGGAAAACTAATGAGCAGCCAAACCAAGGATGAGAAGGCCCCTTTTGACTTAGTACTGCTGTGAAATGAATTTTCATTTGTAATTAAGTTTTCAAAGACATTCTAGTAAGTTTTGATTGATGCTGAATATTAACAAAATGAAGTATCAATCTGCACAGATGATCATCTCCAGAGAGGTCCTGGAATTTTTATCGATTGCTGTACAAACATCTAAATTAGTATTATATATATTTTAACGAAAAACCCTGGGGAGGTTTCATTGAAATGTAAGTTAGCATTTAAAACCATGCCTGGAAACTACTGTTAGCTTGTTACTTGGGAAAGCAATTAACAGTAAGATTCAGGAGCAGGTCCCTAAAACATGGCTAGAATAAATTAGTTTGTCTGAATTCAGGAAACTGATTCCCAAAACTTTCATGAAGCTTCTATTAAGTCCTAAAATCAGTGACACTCCTAAGAGGCTTCAATTTAATTTAAAACTCATTTCATATGTCATGGTTCTAACTCACTGGTGATCACTGGAAGTAAAAGGAAATACTGCTCTTTATGTTCTTACTTGTTGAGATGATGATACATTTGCCAGTGTATCTCTTTTATGCATATATCAACTTTCTAGGCCTGATGAATAGAAAAACTCAAACCAAAAAGCTAGGGACCAGGAAGGCTGACCTTTCCTGAAGAAATAATCGAGTCACAATAGCCAAGTCCCACCCAATAGGTGCAAAGCAGTCAATGCACTGAGCTGGGAATGGCCCCTCCTGCTGCTTCCATGTCACCAAATGCTACAGGAAAAACAAGGAAGTTGTCAAAACACCTCCAGGGAAAGAAGCTCCTAATTGTTTTCTTCTCCAAATACCTTGTGTAGCTTTGTGTATAAACCACTTCTAAGTAAATTCCAGGAAGCTCTGTTCTGTTCCTCTTTTGCAACTTTGACATTTAAATGAGTCAACCCTGTGCTTTAATTAAAACACATACAATAAAACACATACCACATTTTGTGGTATTAGAAGCACTTTCAAAATGCACAGTGTGAGTTTACATCACAATAAAACCAGACTGTGCCACTCTTTCACTTGTTATGTATGGAGACACAGGAAGTCCAGAGTCAGAGGTTGCTGATTTGTGCAAAAATTTCTTAAGAGACAAGAATAATTTTAAATGACCTTTTAGATCTGATCCTCAATGACAGAAGCTGCCCAGCAGGATCCCATGTCATTCAACAAACCCCCAGGTCCCTCAATGGTGTCCAGTGTTACAAAATGAGCTGCGTTTCTCAGAGGCTGTTTTTACAACCTACCAACTGGACATTCCCAGCACCTTTTGTGTGCAACAGGAATTGATGCAGTAAAATCCTTAATGGGGCATTGTAACCGAAACAAGAAAAGAGGCTCCTGCCCCTGTCCACAGAAAGGGATATACAAATTATAAATAAAATTTAAAAATAGTTAGCTGGCTATTATTTTGGCAGGGAGTGTTTCATAAAGACATAAGGAGGGTCTCTATGAGAAGCTGAAAAAGAAGTTATGTGAGAGAAGTCAAGGACAGTCAGGACAAGAACTGTGAATGAAAACTCCATGATGGTTATTTGGCAGAGCATTGGTTAGGAAAAGGCTGGGAACTGTGAGCAAACCAGACGCTGTCATTCTGAAGAACTGTGTGTCCCTTTTCTGCAGGGAGTGTATCTGAGACACATCTAATTCATCAGCAATATCTCTTTTTGAGGGAAAAACAACCCTGAAATACTGGCTTTAAATACTGGCCTTTGGGAAAAGGGTAGCAACAGTATAGAGTGTTTTCTGAATTCTCACTCCCATGCCTTATCACCTGACTACTGGGAGGAGTTATGGTGCAGAGAATTATCTACACGTATTTCTTGCAGAAATTCATTCCAGGTTACTCTCAACCCTTTTCCACTTTCTCACTCAGGGTTTCCATGGTTGTGCAACAAAAAGGATCCTCAAACTGCTCTTAGCAATCTTGAAAGCAGGAACATAATTTAAGCATTTTTTGGTACTAAAACCCATTTCTGCAGTGTGATATGGCTACTGTATTCATTGCTTGTGAGCTCATAATTTGAGGGGACCCAAACCTCTGACAAACAGATACTGGTGACCACAGCGATTTATGAACCTATGGCCATCTTATAATAGTGCAGTCCTTAAACAGCTTGATCTGAAAACTTTCCATACACTGCTGGTACTGATCTGACACATTTTCAAGGGGAATTTCATGACATTCCCAAAGTGTTCATAATGGTCTGTGTGAAGGCACAGAATCCAGCTCCCTGTGTAATGTCTGTCTGGCACAAGAATATACCAGCAATGATGATGCTCAAGGGAGGAGGCAATAAGGCAAAACCTCACTGCAATTAGTCAGCCAAGCAACTAATTGCATTCATTTAAACTTATATTTAAGAAAAAAGCAAAGTCTTTTACCAAAGAAACCAGTTCAGCTGCTGTGCTTCTTTCACTATTAAGCTTCCTGCTCCAGGCCACACCTCTGCAGCCAGGATTGAAAAGAAAAATGCACAAAATTGCTCTGGCTATTGTGAGAGATTTATTTTGGTTGAAAGGTGAATAGCTGAACTGAGGTTATATCAAAACAAAACAACTACCTGACTGAGTCTTCTGATGCAAGAATAATGAAAAGCAATTTGTGCTCATGTCGGCCTCAAGAAATGATTTCCTGCTGTGTACATCTGAGGATGATACATTGATTAAGACAACATCATTATTAACTCATTGATTTACTGCTTCAATTTCCATTGTGACCTTGATTTGATCACTGCTTCATTTATTAATAACCAATTCAAAAATAACAGTGTGTTCACAAATAAAATTTATTAGTGTGTTCATTTATTTGAAATGTTTGCTTGCTTACTCCTTAAAAAAAATAAAAAATAAAAGAAGAAACATACTGAATGAACTTATCAGAAATCAGTCCTTTCTGATTAAATCTGTTTGTGAAAAGTTTCATCCTAAGGACACATTTGCAGTTGGGTTATAAATCCTGTGACCATCCAGACAGGCCATTTTCTGGATCAATTGCAATATCCAAGGGAAAAACCCAGACATGATAGATATTTCAGCTTTTTATAAGGGCCCTGGTGTTATACAATCCTTACCATTCTGTGATGCTCTTGTGTGCTCTAATTACAGAGGTTTCAATATCGATTGGATGGTACCTCATCCCTCGCAATTCCATGGCTTCATCTAATGCACCCACCACATAAAGTGCATCATGGCGTTCTGGTGGTAAGGAATAAAAAAACAGAAAGGTTCTATTCTCCAGTACATTAAATTATAGAAATCTTCACATTAAGAATTAAGTAAAATAAGTACAAACATAAGTTATCCTCAAATTTCTGAAACCCCAAAGTGATTTCTGAACTAATGAGCGTTTTCCATTACTGAAGTGCAATGCAGAGCAAAAACAGAAGAAAGGAAGGCAGAAACACTATTCCCATTTGACAAAGGCAGAAATCTTCATCCAAAGACAGTGGCATAATTCCTGTTTTTCTCCCAGGTGGATGCAGAACACATTGTTTTTAAGGCACTCTAAACAGACAATCGGTTCCTTGTTTTCTCTTTTTTTTTCAAAGAGAAAAAATAGATTTGATCCTAACAGTGTGGCTGATGTTCTCCCAGTTGCTTTGAGATGGTCACTACATATGCTTTTGATCTATTACATAGGTGTTTATCAACAAACTAAAAATGTACTATAGGTAGATAGCAAATTGCTTATGCAGGTAATTTAAACAGAACACTTTTATAGCTCATATTTTTTACCTACTGAAGAAATAAATGAGGCTGAAATTACAGTTTTTAAAAGATACGGGGCTGAAAATAAAACATTACATGCTAGTCATAAAAAAATATTTGCTAATAGACTTAAAAGGAGATGAATTTGGACAGTTGTTTGGTGGTATTGTAATGACAAGAGGAGGTCTGCCTAATAAAGGGCTGAGAACTTTCTGCACTGGGAGCTAAATGTAGGAGAATGGAGCAACTCTTCACTAGGAGAATACCTGAGCTATTTGACTGCGTAAGTTGCAATATCCTCAGAGAATCCTGAATTTTCTCAGGGTTGGGCTATCATTATGAAATTAAAAAAGCCTGTGCAACCCAAAGTAAATCTCTTCTGAAGGTGCCAATATAAAGACAGGGCAGCAGGCCTAATCCACAGGGATTACTAAAATGTTTTCAGATTTGATGAATTTTTATTTTGGTTGAACAGCAGCTATTCTAATGGCCCTGGAATCACTCCTGGGGGTGTTCACAGCATTGCTGGAAACCCTACTTGGCCTCCCCTGGCCAGCTCAGCCACAGCCACTTGTGGCATTGTGCTCCTCAAAAATCATGGAAAAAACCATTTTCCCAAGCACAGACTGTGTGCCTGGCAGCACTGGTCCACATACATGTGTACAAGAGACAAGGAACCTCATTAAAACAAATAAGGGAATCCTGTACCTTCCTGACAGAAACCCAAACACCCTATAGCTTCTCTTGCAGGCTTCTGCTTGTGTTACATTTCAGCAACCAGCCCTCTGGGGTTAAAGACTATAAAATCTGAGGAATGGACAGCTTCTGTGACTGGGTTTATAACAGAGATGGTGGTTACAGGAGGGACAGGGCTCAGACTCCCACCAGGCTTTTTCCACCTGCACAAAAGCATTCCTGGGGACACAGCAGTCAGAGAAAAAAAATGATGGCAGTTTCAGCTGTATTTTATATTTTTCAAGCTGAAGCACTGGGTATATTAAGTGTCAAAAGGTCACTGGTGGAGGAGTTTTATAGTACCTGAGGTATAGCAAAGGAGAAACAACTATTTCAGCAGGGAAATCTTGCCCTCTGATTTATTTTCTGATTATTTAAACTAAGTGGTTTTTTGCAGTTTTACAGGTTGCACAGATGGAGCATGTTAGGGCCAGAGAGGCAGTGACACCCTCCAAATAATTCAAATTACTTGCATAGACCTAGATGATGAGAAACCTCTTACCTCCATTTGCATCAGTGAGTTCTGTTCTTCTCAGGAACCCCAGATAACCAGTTCTTGCCCAAATAGTCTGTGTGTCTCCAAAGCTGAGTCTTGAGTTAAAATGATCTGATTGCAAAGATTCATCTCCATAGATGGTAAAATACCCACTGGCATTGTGAGTGCTGTGAACCCATATCTAAGTTAAAAGCAATTATACTGGTATTAATTAAAGTAGCTTTTGAGAATGAAGCATTATTGAAAATTCTTGATGCAAATATTTCTAGTCATAGCTAGGTAATACTAAAAATGCCTTTTAACACTATTTCTGAACCCATAACTGACCCAGTTCTAGCACAGAGGTTCCAATCTGCTTTTGCTGAAGTTGCAGGGCAGCTCTGAGCCATGCCAAGTTTCTCACTCCTGGTTCAGTGTATCTACCCCAGCAGAGCATCCCCCATGAACACCAGACAGACAGATTATTTTAAAGGGTGAGGCCAGGGAACTTCATTCCATTGAGAAGGATTCATTCCATTGAACTCGAAGCATCATGGAAATTTTTACTATTTAATTTTACAAATTAATGAACTTTTACAGAAACTCACAAATTAGACTGTGGTTTTAATTATGATCAACATGTTCTTCATTTTGTTAACTAGATGTTTAACTGCTTGAAAATAACATAATTTTTTTTCTCACTCTGGAAACAAAATAAATTTGAAAAACATATAATCTTGCTCAACTCCTCTAATTAGAGTACTTCAGTGCAATGAAGCACAATGATTATGGAGAACAGTACAAGAAAACCATCTAGCTGAAATCAGACTAATCTATAAACTTACTTTTCATGTAAGCTTCCATCAGAATTAGCGAAGCACCAAGTACAAAATACAGTTAGCAAAAGCAGATTTTTTTCATTTTTTTTAACTTGAGCTATTACTATTTAGAAACAATTTACTAACAATTTTAATAATGACACAAATACCATGATCCACACTTCATAAAGATCAGTAGAATTCACTATTTTCTTAACTGGGCAATTGATAAGATGTATCATCATAGGAAATCATTAGCATGCACAACAATAGCTTTGTCTCTGCAATTTAGTTGAGAGCATACAAAGTTCAGGTTCTCATGACTCACCTCACCAAGATGAGAATCTCCTAAGGGTCCCTTTGTTTCTGGATTAGCAATAATGATACGTACTCCTGGGAGGATCTGTTGAAAGAAAACACGAGGCAGTAAGAAGCAGGTACCACCTCATGCAATTGTACACTGATGCTTTGTCTGCAAAAAACCTTCATTACAAACCACAGGAAATCCTTAAAAATCCTTAAAAAGTTAAATCAGACTTATAGTGGAAAAAAAACATAGTCCATAGATACGACAAATTCTGAGATAATTGGGAAATGTGACAAAAGCTTCTCTTTTTAAATGCTGTTCCATCAATAAACCACCTCAGAAATCAAATGTTCTCCTGCAGAACAAAAGTCTGACCAAATGGCCCCTGTCTCCATGAGAATACATAGTGGGATAGGAACAACCCCAATGAAACTTTGGCCTGAAACAAGGAGTAAGCCAGAGGCATCATGCACTCTCCCAAAGACCTCATGTAATGGCCATTCAACAGCTACAGAGGTGAATGTTGAGCCTTAGAACAGAAAAGGGAGCATCCTCTGACCATGAATGTCTGCAAAGCGATGGACAGAAAGCTTTAGATGAGCACCCACAGCATCAGAGCCTGCCCCTATGTCAGAGCCTGTCCCCACAGCCATGGCCCAGCAGGGACAGCCCCTCTGCAGGTGATCAGTAGCCTGTGAGCACAGCGCTGGTCATCCCAGAGCAGCTCTCACTGGAGGTGGGTTCTACATCCATGGAACTGCTGCCACCAGAGCCACATTTATCAGCTGCTTCACGAATGACACGCAGGGGATGAAATACCTTCCTTTTGCATAAAAGAAGGAATTGATTTCTGCATAAAAGAGCGAGGTACAGGCTCTGAGAGAGCAGCAATGCATCAGTTACTGCCATCATGCTGTAACCTCAACAGTAAAAGAAGGACATCAATCTGCACAGCTAATAGCACCTTCCCCAGTATTACATTCATGTAAAAATGAACAGAAATGGATATTTACTGAAAATATAGACCATAAAAGATACACTTAAATCTTCTTTCAGTACTTACTTTTCCAGACTCCATGAGAGGCAAACTATGTGGAGATCCTCTTTCAACTAAACGAACTCTGTAAAATAATATGTATAATACCAGGTTGTGTTTATTTGCTTTTCATTAACATTTATTTCTAAAAGGAATGGTTAAGGGTTGCAGAGTTTAATGTTATTTTTGGAAGAGGTGAAGCTTGTATCCTGTTATGTGGAACATAATCAGACCCAATATGTAGTATTAGTCAAAACTTATGGATGGGAAAATAATGAAAAAAAGATGTGTGTGAACGTTTTCTTAAATAATAAATTCTTCAAATGTAGTTGGTGCCTTTTATTTGTTTTTGATAGACTTTTGTAAATGGAATTCCATGCACAAATTTATTCATGACAAGAGGGATCTGAAATATTGATTTCCCACAAGAATGTCATAAAAGTCAGGGCACAGACACAAAATCATGTGAGCTGAGTGAGCAACCACATTCCACAAGTAGCTGACAGCTAAAATCAAAATCCTATCAAAATAACTTATAACCTGGCCTCAGTTTCAAATCTGCATTTGCAATCTTTTAATTATTTTCAATGGACAGTTGTTGATAAACATTTTAATATTAAAAAAAAATCATTTAATGAAAAATGTTATTACTGCTGAGATCAGATCCGTTCTCAGAGTGTGACTTTCTGGTTGTCTCCTTTTTTTAGATAACTTATTTCCCCACTAAGTGAACTGGAATGTCATCTCTCCTTCAGTGGTATAATGGTCTGGAAGGAAAATTCTCATTTAACCTTAGAAAAGTATTCAGCAGGTTAGAATGATAGAGGCTTCCAAGTTCTAAAATAGCTGATGATCTCAGCCAGTACATTGCAAAGAAAATTTGGTAACGTCTAGTTATTCCTGTATCGTAAGTAACTTAAAAGTTTCAACAACCATGAAAACCTTCAACTCTCTACTCCTGAACAATATCCATAATCCACTTAAATAAGCTAAATCTGTCCCAAGAGCTGTTCTTACCCCTAGCCTTACCCTCAGCTCCAGACACTGGAATGACAAAACCCCACAATACAAGCTGCCTAAAAACCAACCAGGTAAAAGGTAAAGATGAAACATCAGAAGACAAAAAACAGGAGCAGATGGGTGGAGACCCATATATTAGGAGCAGTCACAATAGATCTTTTTCAGTCTGTTTTGAGGTCTTTTTATAGATAGAGCATCACAGTGCTCAGTTTGGGAAAGGAGGGATGAGACACAGAGACCTCAGCCAGAGGTCCCTTTGCAGAACAAAGCTTTGGCAAGTTCAGACCCTAAGCAGAAAGGAGATGGAAAAAGATCTTTCTCCTTTTTTTTTTTTTTTTTCCTTATTTCTTTGCTCCAAGAGTCTTCTATAAAAGGTGAGACTGTTGAGGTCAAGGCAGGAGTAGTGAGTAGTGTTTTATCTGCAGTTCTGGGAAGTCTCTCAACCTTGATGAATGGGGCAGGGCTAAGCCCTGAGATATGGCACATCAGTGTGAACAGCTCCTCTCACTAACAGAAAGATACAACCCAAACACTCAAGAATTTCAGACCTTTCTCCAAGTTGTGTTGAGAGGAAAAGGATGTAAAGTGCCCTACAAGGTACTGCCTGGAGCAGGCACAGTTGGGCAGCTGCAGCCTGACCTACAAGGTGTGTAACAGGAATCACTTTTCAACACTCCTTCAGCTGCCACTTAACTCCCAGAGCCAGCCTGAAGCACTAATTCCCTGCTCTGTGTGTTACCTTTAATTTACACTGCCCTTCTTTACACTGTTGTGTTACACGTGTAACAAGTCTGTGCTTTCTGCATTTCCTGCCCAGCCTCCCACCAGCTGAAAAGCAGCAGAGCCACTGGACTGATGGCAAAAGCAGTGAAACTACAGCATCCATTTGTTCATCCAGGGACACAGACATGGGGCAGCAGAAAGCCAGGCCATGGGAGCCTCTCTAGAATGTGTGTGTGCAAGGCTAAATTAATGCTGCTCTATAAAGGGTACATCTACATCAGCCACACTTGTGGCAGCAAATGGCAACCAAATGGCACACAAGCACACAAATGGCAGCCAAATCATAAGCATTTAGGAGTATACAGCAAGGGCTTTAAAAATAATTCTGTATGTATTGAAATGAAATCAAATATTGCAAAAACCAGTTGCTACTAATGCCTATATATTTCTGCCTTCATATATATATATATGTGTATATATATATATATATCTATATATATATATATCTATCTATCTATCTATCTTTGTTCCGTAAAATCCATTTTAGTCTAGAAATAGAAAATTACTTTAACTGAGTTCTTCCAAACAACTAACTGACATCTCCAATCTTTCAATAGGTATTTACAGACAGGTAGCTGCTCTTGGAAGAAACAGTCATCATCTCACCCACTCAGTACCTCCTTTAACAGAGCTATTTTACCTATTATTTACAAGCATTTGTGAAGCTGAGAAAATCTAAAAAAAAAAAAAAAAGATCATTTAGGAAACCTCAGCCACAAGCACTGTTAAGAGTGAAGGTGTAACAAAGCTCAGGAGGCACTTTATGTAATTTAAGATAGGTTTAAAGAGAATTCTATTTGGATAACAGTAGAAAAAACCTCTGGGGCAGGAAAAGTGTATGTCAGAACTGCGCAGTTCTAGTTCAGCACCAGAGATATTGGTGGCCTTTGCTCCCTTCCTGCCATTAGGACATGCCTTCATGAAGTGTTGCTGAACTCCAGGCCTAGCAAAAATCACAAATAATAAAGCAACACATTCGATAGTCGGTGGTGTGGTTACTGGAAATGAATCAACAGTCATAAATCTCACAATCCCTTATTTGCTTTCAGCATCTGTGCTTCCCATCTTGTTCTTATTATCACTGGCGTATTCTTCTAGTTCCCTTCTCCACCTGTTTCATTTAACCTTGCCTGTTTTTTTAGCACATGATGATCCACAGAAGGTGCAATTTCTCACTTTCCAGCTCTGTTAAACCTCTCCCACTCTGTGCTTCCAGCCTCACATCCCAGTTTTCATGGCAGTGTACTAAACATAGAAACGGCATTTCCTGGAGGTTTTCTGTGAAGGCCCTCTTAGCACCTAAAACCTTGGATCCCTTTTTGGAAAGCTTCTGCTAAGCTCACAATCCATTGGGGAACACACTGTTAAACCTCTAACAAATCCAAAAATAATAAAAAATATTTTGCCTCAAAGATATTTAAAAGAAATGTAAGCAAAACATGAGATTCTGATGTTAGTGACTGTCATGCACATTCTTAATTTTAAGTGCTTAATAGCCTCATGAACTCTACTGGGACTAGATACTGTGAATAAATTATGGGCATTAGGCAATAATTTTTAAAATGAGTTTTATTGTGCCTCAGCATAAAATAATTCAATTGTTCCCACTCTTCCTCAAGAGATTTCCCTTTTTCCACTGACAAATGCAGACACAATTGAAAACTTCTTTGCTTCCCTCTTGAGCAAACAGCACCACTACACAAGGCTGCTCCGGTAGGCAGAATAAAAATGCAGAACACTGGGCCCATCAGACCCTTAAAAACAACACCTCTGAATTACCCAGGTGATGCTGGCAAAGAACACACGGCTCCCTGCGGCCTCCCTAGGACAATGACAACAAACCCTCTCCAAATTCACTAATAACCTGCTCCCAGGCAGTGCAGGTCCAGGAAGGGCAAGTCCTGTTTCTCTGCAGTGCTCCAGAATCCTTTGTTGGGAATGAAAATAATCTCTTACAAAGTGAGTACAGAGCCTTCCTGCTGTTTTCTTCTGCCACCGAGTCTTGCTGGGAAGGGCAGAGGAGAACATGGCAGTAGAGCCAGACTGGGCAAAGAGCCTGAAAATCAAGTGGATGGGAGAACACATGCTGCCCTTGGGTGTGAAAGCTACTTTTGCACCTTCTGGTGGTTTGCAGCCAAGCTGAGAGGGAAAACATAAATGAGAGACCCGATGTAGGGCAGACACAAGGTTTCTCCCCCACTAAAATGTCTCACTGGAGAGGGGAGACAGAAGATGTTTAAGAATCATCTCACTGTTGCAAAACTATAACCAGGGATGATACACAATGAAACTGTAATACTTACACAGAACAGTATAGAAGAGAATATTTTTCATAACTTTTTTTCCACTGGTTCCTAAAAACATTTCCTTAAAGAATTCTCTCACTGGAGCTGTACAGTTGAGAAAACTGTTTCAAAGTCTGGTTCCTGGGATTTAACAGGGAATGCAGCTACACCTCCAGTATGTGTCAACTTCTTGTTACAATTTAATATATTGAACATATTCCATCTTCTTTAAATCAAATACTTACTATAGAAAAGCAGGACTGAAATCTGACTTCATAACAGGAACTGGCCAGCTATAACTAACCAGGCACTGCAGCAAAGGGGTATCAAAATAAAAGGGGTATCAAAGGGGCAGCAGCAATGTCTTTCTGCCCAAATATCTTACATGAAACTGAAAATATTTTATGCTCCATTTTAGATCTGGTTCATTCGGTGATGAAAACTCTGCAAAATGCACTGCACAGCTTGCTAGTGCTTCACACTAGTCAGAGAGTTTGTCAGCAGAGCTATTAACTCTTGCTTTGGGAATCTGCAGGGGCTGGCACATGCAGAGTGGTACTAAGCAAGACTACAGTGCCAAAACTGGGCAATCCTTCAGAGCCGTCTGTGCTGCTGCTCAGAGAAAGCGTTTGGATTCTGTGATGCTAATAGAGACGGAAAGAAGCCATGAGGTCATCCAAGTCTTGCTCCCTGCCAAAAAAAGACTGCTCCCTGCAGTGCACTTTTGAGTGCTTTGCCTACTTCTGTTACAGTATTTCAAATGATGAGGATTCTTCTACTTCCTTTCAGGGCTTATTTCTCAGCTGAATTTATTTCAAATCCAGGAACCTTTTTCTCACTCTGCGATGCTTGGCATGAACCAGTGTTAGCTTCCTCTTATTATTTCTACCTCTCCATGTCCAACTCAAAGGAGCTTTTCCCCAGTGCCCCTGTTCTCTTTCAATATAACTCAGCTAAAGAGATTGCCTTTTACCCTACCACTTGGCCGAACCCCACA